CCTCCAAGAGGCCCCCAAGAGGCCCCCAAGAAGCCCCAAGAGGCCCCCAAGAGGACCCCAAGAGGCCCCCAAGGGGCCCCCAGAGGCCCCACGAGGCCCCCAAGAGGCCCCCAAGAGGCCCCCAAGAGGCCCCCAAGAGGCCCCAAGAGGCTCCAAGAGGCCCCCAAGAGGCCCCACGAGGAGCCCGAACGACTCACACCAGGACGAGGGGCCCGAACGACTCACACCACGAAGAGCCCGAACGACTCACACCACAAGGAGGGGCCCGAACGACTCACACCAGGACGAGGCGCCCGAACGACTCACACCACGAGGAGCCCGAACGACTCACACCACGACGCGGGCCCCGAACGACTCACACCACGAGGAGCCCGAACGAGTCACACCAGGAGGAGGGGCCCGAACGACTCACACCAGGATGAGGGGCCCGAACAACTCACACCACGAGAAGCCCGAACGACTCACACCAGGACGAAGAGCCCGAACGACTCACACCACGAAGAGCCCGAACGACTCACACCAGGAAGAAGGGCCCGAACGACTCACACCAGGACGAGAAACCCCAAACGACTCAAATCACGAGGAGCGCTTTCTCTCCCTCCTCCTCCGCCTCGTCCTTCTCCCGCTCCCCCCACAAGGAGGATGTACAAGGAGGCGGGAGGAAGGAGGAACAGGGGAGATATGCGGGGCCAAGCGGACACACGCCTGAAAAACACGACTGTCGGCATGCTTCGCAAGAGTTGCTGCTGTGAGATGGGCTGGTGGGGATACGCGAAGCGTAAAGAATTGAAAATATACATACAATCTAATACAACAAATACTCATGACACTAACATTAATGTGACTAATACTAATACGATAAGAACCATCCTAGTGATACTAATACTGGTGATACGAATAAGCAACAACATATTAAAAAGACTAATGATCATCATCATCAGAATCAGCATCATCAGCAGCAGCAGCATCATCATCAGCATCAGCAGCAGCATGAGCATCAGCATCAGCATCAGCATGATCATCATCATCCTCATCATCATCAGCTCATCATCATGATCACCATCACCATCACCATCACCATCATCATCAGCATCATCATCATCAGCAGCAGCAGCAGCACCACCATCATCAGCATCATCACCAGCACCAGCATCAAAATCAGCATCAGCAACAGCATCGTTGCCATGATAATCATCATCATCGTCGTCATCATCATCATCATCAGCATGGTCACCATCATCAGCAGCAGCATCATCAGCAGCAGCATCATCAGCATCATCATCATCATCATCATCACCATCAACATCAGCATCACCATCATCAGCATCAGCATCATCATCATCATCATCATCATCGTCACCACCACCATCATCATCAGCATCATCATCAGCAGCAGCAGCATCATCAGCATCATCATCATCAGCATCATCATCATCATCATCATCTTCATCATCATCATCATCATCACCATCATCATCATCATCATCATCATCATCGGCATCGTCATCGTCATCGTCATCATCATCAACAGCATCATCAGCATCCACACCATCAGCATCAGCATCATCACCAGCATCATCATCATATTATCATCATGTTCACCATCAGCATCATCACCATCATCATCAGCATCATCAACCACAAAAGCAGCAACATCATCATCATCAGCATCCTCATCAGCATCATCCTCATCATTATCATCATCGTCATCAGTATCGTCATCAGCATCATCAGCATCAGCATCATCATCAGCAGCAGCATCACCATCACCATCACCATCACCATCATCAGCGTCATCGTCATCAGCATCATCATCACTATCACCGTCACCATCACCATCATCATCATCACCAGCATCAGCATCATCAGCATCATTGTCATCATCATCATCAGAATCAGCATCATCATCAGCAGCATCATGATCATCAGCATGATCATCATCAACATCATCACCATCATCAGCATCGTTATCATCAGCATCGTCATCATCAGCAACATCATCAGTATCATCATCATAGCAACTTTATCACCATCATCGTCATCATCATGTTCATCATCATCATCATCATCATCATCACCATCATCACCCTCGTCCGCCTCCACCTCCTCCTCCTCCACCTCCTCTTCCTCCTCCTCCTCCCCAACGCTCTCCTCCTCCTCCTCCTCCTCCTCCTCCTCAGCATCATCATCATAATCACTGTCACCACCACCACCACCACCACCACCACCACCATCATCATCATCATCATCATCATCATCATCATCATCATCATCATCATCATGTGAAAGAGCGTGCTCTGCCGCTGCTTGCAGCAAAACCGAGGGGAATCACTACGTGTTTCAAACCCACCCCCCACCCCCTCGAAAACCGGCGGGGGTCACTGGGGGTTCCAACAGTCCATCATGATAAGGGGGGGATCACTACCAGTTTGACCCCCCCCCCCCTGCTCGCCGCCAGCAAACGACTCCCCCTCCTCTCCCATTCCGAAGGGGGACTGGTGGGGACAATGGTTGGGACGGTGGTGGGGATGGTGGTGGGAACGGTGGGGACAGTGGGACAGTGGGACAGTGGTGGGGACAGTGGGGACAGTGGGGAGAGTGGGACCGTCGTGGGGACAGTGGGGACAGTGCGACAGTGGTGGGGGCACTGGAGGGGACAGTGGGGACGGTTTTGGGAACAGTGCGGCCATTGGGACAGTGGTGGGGACAGTAGGGACAGTGGGACCGTGGTGGGGATGGTGGTGGTGGGGACAATGGTGAGGGGACAGTGGGACAGTGGTGCGCACAGTGGGGACAGTGGGACCGTGGTGGGGGTGGTGGTGGTGGGGACTGGTGAGGGCGATGGTGAGGACGGTGGTGGGACAATGGGACAGTGATGCAGTGCGGACAGTGGCGGGGACAGTGGGGAAGGTGGGACCGTGGTGGGGACAGTAGTGGGGACAATGGGGACAGTGCGACAGTGGTGGGGGCACGAGCGAGGACATTGGGGACAGTGGTGGGAACAGTGGGGACAGTGGGACAGTGTGGTGGGGACAGTGGGGGACAGTAGGAGAGTGGTGGGGACGGTGGTGGTGGGAACAGTGGTGAGGGGACAGTGGGGACAGTGGTGGGGACAGTGGGACAGTGGTGGGACAGTGGCGGGAACAGTGGGGACAGTGGGACAGCATAGTGGAACAGCAACGGGAACAGTGGTGACAGTGGGACAGTGGCGGGAACTGTGGGGATTGTGGGGACAGTGGGACAGTGGTGAGGACAGTGGGGACAGTGGGGAGAGTGGGACCATGGTGGGGACAGTGGGGGCACTGGTGGAAACAGTGGGGACAGTGGTGGGAACACTGGGGACAGTGGTGGGGACAGAAGGACAGTGGTGGGGACGGTTGTGGTGGGGACAGTGGTGAGGGCGGTGGTGAGGACGGTGGTGGGGACCCGGGAGACGTTTGCCCGCGGCGAGTTGGGAGGGGAACCCGTAGTGACCCTTCCACGGATTTCCAGAAGGTCGCCACCATCACCACCACCACCATCACCACCATCATCATCATCATCATCATCATCATCATCATCATCATCACCACCACCATCATCCTCATCCTCATCCTCATCCTCATCCTCATCCTCATCATCAGCAGCATCAGCATCAGCATCAGCATCAGCATCAGCAACAGCATCAGCATCAGCATCAGCATCATCATCATCATCATCATCATCATCATCATCATCATCATCATCAGAATCATCGTCATCAGCATCATCGTCATCAGCATCATCATCACTATCACCGTCACCATCACCATCATCATCGACAGCATCAGCATCATCAGCATCATTGTCATCATCATCAGAATCAGCATCATCATCAGCAGCATCATGATCATCAGCATGATCATCATCATCAGCATCATCATCATCATCATCATAAACATCATCATCATCATCATCAGCATCATTGTCATCATCATCATCATCATCATCATCATCATCATCATCGGCATCGTCATCGTCATCGTCATCATCAGCATCATCAGCATCAGCATCATCATCATCATCAGTATCACCACCATCATCATCATCATCATCATCATCATCATCATCGGCATCGGCATCGCCATCGTCATCGTCATCATCATCAGCAGCATCATCATCAGCATCCACAGCATCATCATCATCATCATCAGCATCATCATCATTTTCATCATTATATTCATGATCATGATCATCAGCATCAGCATCAGCATCAGCATCATCGTCATCATCATCGGCATCAGCATATTGATTATCATCATCATCAGCAGCATCAGCATCGGCATCACCATCACTATCATCATCATCAGCATCAGCATCATCACCATCATCAGCATCATCATCAGCAGCAGCATCGGCATCACCATCACTATCATCACCATCACCATCATCATCACCACCATCATCATCGTCATCATCATCGTCATCATCATCATCATCATCATCACCACCACCAACATCATCATCATCAGCAGCAGCACCACCACCATCATCAGCAGCATCATCAACATCATTATCACCACCACCACCATCATCACCATCATCATCAGCATCATGATCATCATCAGCATCATCATCACCATCATCAGCATCAGCATCAGCATCAGCATCATCATCACCAGCATCATCATCAGCATAATCATAATCATCATCATCATAATCACCACCCTCATCCTCATCCCCATCCTCATCTTCCTCCTCATCCTCAGCAGCAGCAGCATCAGCATCACAATCACAATCGTCGTCGCTGCCATCGTCATCACCTCCACCGCCAGCCTCACCATCCCCCCTCCTTCTCCTGGCCCACATCCTCCCCCCTTTCTCCCGACATGTCGTCCCCTCCCCCGTCGCCCCCACCTGGGTCGCGCCGTCCCGGCCGCGGGCGGCAACTCCCCAGCACCCGGCGCGGGGCACGGCCACGAGCGGCCGCCGAGCGAGGCGGGCGTGCGCGCGGCAGCGGCGGGGCGGGGCGCGGGCAGAACAGGAACACAAAGTAGAATATCGCCTGCGCGGCGCGGGGGCGTGGGGGACGGAGGCCTTCGATCCTGAACCCTCCTCCTCCGCCTCCGCGCCCTCCTCCTGCCGCTCCTCCTCCTCCTCCTCCTCCTCGTCCTCCTCCTCCTCTTCCACCTCCTCCTCCTCCTCCTCCGCCTCCTCCTCCTTCTCCTCCTCCTCCATCTTCTCCTTATAAAAAACTCTTCCCTGTCGCACTCCGAGATGGGTGGGTAGGGCATGGTAGGGCGGGCGCGGCGTTTCGCCGGAGACTTCCTCAACATTCACGACCCTGGAACTGAGAACCTGCAAGAGCTCTCGCATGAGCGCCGCGCACATTCGTCTAAAAATTTTGCGAGTTTGACGGATGGGGGGCGGGTTGTTTTCAATGTGTTTCTCGCCGTAGCCCCGCGCGCATTCGTCTCAGAAGTGTGCAAAAGCTTCACGGATGGAGGGCGGTTGCTTTTGAAAATGTGGCTCTCGCCCTAGCCCCGCGCACATTCGCCTTAAGAAATTACATGAGTTCCAAGGATTCGTATTGTCGGCCATCCGGTACTGCGTTCTGGCACGCTTTACGATCGTCAGTCACAACAGTGAAGTTGTTGATTCGCGTTGAAGTCCCAGAAATGGTGCTTTGACGCCGTTGGAGATTTTCCAACGGCTGCCTTCCAATGGGGCTATTCCCGTAGTGAAAACAGATCCGTATACAAGCCTATGGAAGGGGAACTTGGTGGGAGGGTTAACTGCAGCATCCTTAATGGATATTGCGGGTTGCACTGGTCCTCCTCCTCCTCCTCATCATCATCCTCCTCCTCTTCCCCCTCCTTCTCCTCATCATCGTTCTCCTCCTCCGCCTCCTCCTCCTCCTCTGACTCCGCATCATCCTCATCATCATCCCCATCCACATCCTCATCCTCCTCCCTCCCTCCTACTCCTTTTCCTCCTCATCCTCCTCGTCTTACTCCTCCTCCTCCTCCTCGTCTTCCTCCTCCTCCTCCTCCTCCTCCTCCTCCTCCCCCTCCTCCTCTTCCTCCTCCTCCTCCGCCTCCTCGTTCGCTCCTCCTCCTCCTCCTCCTCGTCCTCCTCCCCCATCCTCCTCCTCCTCGTCATCCTCTTCATTCTCCGCCATCTCCTCATCCTCCTCCTCCTCCTCCTCCTCCTCCTCCTCCTCCTCCTCCTCCTCCGCCCCCTCCTCCTCGTCCTCGTCCTCCTCCTTCCATTCCATTCCTGCTCCCCCTCTGCTGTATACCTCCCTCCGCATCCCTCCTGCTCCGCCCCTTCCCGCAGAGTTGCTTCCCCTACCCTTGCTCCAGGCGTTGCCCGAGGTACGGGGCGCTGTGAAGCCTCACAGAACATGAGCTTCATCGTCCGGTACTCGAGCGACTTCGTCCGATAGATCTGCGCCGTGTCTATGTACCTCGCGGCCGCCGGGGGGGGGGCCGAGGCAGCACCTCCCGATGGAAGAAGGGAGGAGAGGATGAGTATGAAGGGGCCCAGGGACACACAATCTAATACACACGAGTACCAGGATCCCCCTCATGTTTCCATGCTTTTTGGATTTTCGTCTTGCCCACCACTTCCAAATTTTCGCATTGTTTTCTTGTGTCTGTGTTCGTTCCCTCCTGAGAATAAGAAGATGACCAGGCGCACTGTAAACTGGATTACGGCTCCGAGGATGCGGCGCGCGGGCGCCAGCTCCACGGATCGGGGAAGGTACCCCCCAAAAAAACACGAGGCCGATACCGTCGCACGTGGCGCGCAGATTCTGTGGAAGCGGGACCAATCGCTAATCTACGCGCAGTAATCCATCACTGCGCTTCCTCGAAATGATCATGGGCCTGTTTTCAACCACCACCCCCATAAGTTGGGGGGGAAGGAGGTGGAGGACGAGGAGGAGGAGGTCGACGAGGAGGAGGAGGGGGAGGAGGAGGCGGAGGAGGAGGAGGTCGAGGAGGAGGAGGAAGAGACCCCCTCCACTCCACCTTATGGTGGCGGTGGTAAACAACCCATCAAATGAGAAAGGGGACCACGGCCACGACGACGACGACGACGATGACGACGACAAATGACGAGAGCGAAGGCCAAGCAGGGCGAAGCGCAGAAAGGATGCACCGCGGCACGCAGCATGCACTTTGAACGGCCGTAGCCCTTCTTGAACCCCCGAGGGGCCTCTGGAAAGCTTCCGAGGGGGCCGTCCAGACACATCCGAAGACCTCCGAAGCCCCGGGGGGGGAACCAGCAAAACGGGGGGGGAAAGCAGTCGGGCGGGCCTGAGCTGGACCGAATCGCGAAATCGGATTGGATCGGAAACAGATCTGATCGCGGACGAATCGTCCCGAATCGGATCGAAATCGGATTGCCGGGCCCGGCTCCAGCTGGCACTCGTTGCTGGTGAACCGAATCGTATAGAATCGAATCACATCGGATCGGAATCGGAGGCCCAGCCGGCAAATCGAATCGCATCGCGGCCCTGTGTGGTCGGGGGCTGGGAGATCGAGCCAGCACGATTAAGGCTGAGGACTGCTGGTGCCGACGCACGGCCCCCCAGGGCCAGATCATGATCTCGTGAAACGCATCGCGCCCACTCCCAATTTACAGCGGGGTACTTACGGTAATGCACGATATCGCGAGGATGCACGGTAACTAGTGGCGATGCTCGCTGTGTCCAGTTGTTCACCTGCTCGTGTTTGGGGGGGGTCCCTCCAGGGAAGATCTTGACAATCCCCCCTTGAATAGAGCAGCATGAGGAAGAACCGTGCGAGCGTATTCGTCGCTATCACTACCGCATCAACGTTGGTATCACCGTCGAAATCGTTAACAGAAGCAGCAGCACCATCATCAGCAAGCAGCAACACCACATCCCCATCGCTAGCATCGTCAGCATCACCATGTTACGAATTTCAAACAACAAATAGCACACACACGCACAAACAAAAAAAAATACACATATAGATTTTACAACAAAAAAACCTCAACATCACAATCATCACCATCATAATCACTTTCATCATTCCAACCAGCATCCTGATCGTCATAGTCATCGTCGTCGCCGTCGCCGCCGTAGTTTGATGCCCGCATACGCAACAGCCAGCATCAACACCATCGCCATCGACATCGTAATCGTCGTCATCGCCACCGTTTTTCATCAGCAGCAGCACCAACATCATCACCATGATCATCGTCATTATCACCATCATCAGCATCACCGTCATCATCCGCACCATTACCATGATCATTCTCATCACAGCCAGCATCCTGATGACATGTCGACGGCAATGCAAAACTGGCGGGACGTGCGCAGACCGCGTGGCGGCATCCGCTGCAAAAGAGGGTGGAGATGGAGGGCACAATGGAAACAAACGGGTGCGATAGCAGCGCCTCTTGGCAATGTAAGCATGGGTGTTAACACGAGACGAACGCGGGCGCGACAGGTTGCAACCTGCCGCGCCTGGAGCCAAGCGGCAATGGGAATTACTCCGACGGTAGGACCCCACATGAAACTCTGTTTAGATTCCCCTTAACCCTTCCCTCCTCCCCCTGACGGACACTCTCCGCTCGCCTTCTGCTCTTCCCTCTCCTCCTCCTCCTTCTATGTATCATAACCCTTCCCGTCCTCTTCCTCCTCCTCCTCCCCCACCTCCTCTTCATCATCACCCTCTCCATATACCCCTTCCCTCCTCCTCCTCATCCTCCGCCTGCCTCTTCTCCATGTGCACCTCCCCGCCCCCCTGGTCGGGGCAAGCAAATCGACGTTCCTCTGCGCCCTCGCCGCCACGGCAATGAGGCGCGCGTTTGCCGACGGCTAGATCGCGAAGCCGTCGGGGCAACCCCGCGAGCCTCTGGGGCGCGAGAGCAAGCCGTTGGGAGAACCCCGCAGGCACCGAGCTAATCGCGGCCGCGCTCAGGCGGGGGGCAGCACGAAGCCCAGCTCTGCCGAGAGCTGTTCCGCCTCGGCCCTGGAGCCCACCGCCTTCTTGTCGAACTCCTGGAGCGCCTTCCGCAGGGACGTCGGCGGCCCGCGCTCCAGGAACTCCCGCGCGGGCGGCCGCAGGATCAGCATGTTCCGCATGCACGTGGCGCGGGAGAACATGACGTAGAGGTGCAGCCACCACTGCTCGTCCGACATGCCCGTGCGGCCAGCGTCCTCATCCCTGGCGCAGTCGATGGTGACGCCCTTGCGCAGCGTCTGGCCCTGCGACAGCGTGGAGGTCAGGTAGGACGAGTGCGTCAGCGTGAACCCCGAGCGGCGCACAGCGTGCGCCCCCGAGCTCTGCCACGTGAACTCCTGCTCGCTGGGCCTGAACATGAGCAAGCTCCTCGCCCGCGCCTCGGCCTCGCCGTCGTCGCCAGCGCCATCGGCGCGCTGCTGCAGCACCTCGGCGACCTCCTTGTAGATCGGGGACTCCTGGAAGCCGTGCACCTGAAGCCAGATCCCCTGCGGTAGGTAGCGGGGGCGGAAGAGCTGGCCCGGCGCGCACTCCTGGTAGTCCCGCTCGTCGTCTGCGTGAAACTCGAAGGACGCGATGGTGGCCCGTTGCTCCTGCACGAGCCCCAACTTCTTCTTCAGCTCCTCCTGCACGGCCGTGAGCCCGACCTCCATGCCGACGTGTGCCGGTAAGACGCCGTGGATGTCTCCGGTCTTTTGCATGTTCGGAACGTTCAGGAGGCGCCGGCCTGCGTCTGGGTCGCCTTGAGTCGTGCCGCACTCGTCTACGGCCTGCAGGAAAACGAAGGGGGCGCCGAGGCGCCGCGCGTCGCGACGAGCGCGCGTGTTGATCCACCTCGCCAGCGTCTCCCAGGAGATGCCTATGCCGTAGTCGAGCCGAAAGTTCTCGCGCTGGTGCCGAGGGTCCAGGACGCCGCGGTTGTCCGAGGCCAATGTCTTCTCCCAGGCAGACCAGACCTCTGGTGGGAAGCGCTTGCCCTCGCGCATGCAGCCCAGGAACGTGATCAGAGGGTCCCCCGGCTCGAAGCGCTTCGTGCCTTTCAGCTCGAAGACGCAGGGGATGTGTTCGAAGACGTTGATGGCGTGCTGAATCTCCAACGTCGGCGGCTCCTTGTACTTGTACGAATCGTCGTCCAGGAGCTCGTTGGGGTTCGCTAAGAGGCCGATGCTGCCGGTGGGCTTCAGCTGCAGGAAATCGCCGAGGTGCAGCACGATGGAGACACGGCCGAAGTGGTGGTGCGGCCTCTTGTAGGTGGACTCCTGCACGTCATGCGCGTCACTGCGTCCGCGGCAAGCGCGAAGGTCCAGCGCGTTGTACAGAGCAGCCGCCACCATGCTCACCTCCTCGATGACAAGTACGCGGACGTGCTCCCACATCCACTTCAGCCTCTTCTGCGCGCCCCCCGGCCTCATCTTCGCGTTGATCACGAGACCAGAAACTCACCTGAGCCCGTCAGCGATCTGATTGGCGTGGAGCTGGCCGGAGAGGGAGCCACCGCAGGCGACCTGCCACGCTGCACTCTGAAGGTGGGCGCGCAGGATCCACGGCGACGGCCACGCAGACGGACGTCCCGTCCACGACCAGGGTTGCTGGCAAAGCGCAGCGCCCCCCCCCCCCCTTCAACTTCCCGATCCTCGACTGGGATGGGGCCCCGCACCATCTCGCAATGAGCGAGGTGGCGCGCCCTCGGGCCATCGGCCGCGCCACGCGCTGCAAGCAGCTCGGAGCCAAACGGAAACCCGCACGCAAGTTCACGCGAGCGGCGCACACCATCGAACACGCAGCGGACCTCCTCGCCTGCGCGGCGGCACTTGCCGAGGAACATGCAGACGGCGCCCCTCGCGCCGCGCCCCGCCCCTCCCCCGCTTGAAGGGCCCGTCGCCGCGCGCGCATACCTGGCCAGCGCATCCCATGGCAAGAAAGACGATGCGCGCCTTGATTGTCTGCATGGCGAAAAATTTGCCCCGTCACAGCTGTGCTCTTGTAGCGCTAATGAGGTGCCCCGTCCTCTTTCCAAGATCCAGGCGGGGCGCCCTGGCCCCGCTGCCCGCTTCTGCCGGAACGGGTCGGCCGGGCCAGCCTTCCCGGCTGAACCACACTCATCCTAGATGTAGCGGCTGCACGGGGGCTTCGGTAGTTCCCCCTGGACCACGCTGGCGCCGCGGTGCCCGATTCCCCCCGGCGGTGCAAGAGCTGCCACGCCCATAGACACTAGCTCGCGACCACAGGTCATGATACTGACGCCCGCGAACGCGAATAGGTCGTAGCCTGCTGCGTGAAGCGCGCCCCGCACTGGTGCTTGTGCGTTGGGGCTAAGAAACTGTACATTGAGCGTTTAAAACTCTCGGCTGTCGCTGGGAGCGCAAGTCCTGATTGTCATTGTCCACTGCTAGTAATCTAAGCAGATTCGATGGAATTTCCCGGTCGGTGATTTGAGCTGGTCAGAACTGTCGACTGACATGCATAAAAGGCCACTTGGAGCAGACTCTAAGTCGAAATGCATGGTGCCTGGGCTCCAAATGATTCCGTTGCCCACAGAGTGCTAAGCCTGTCTCCGCAGACCCCAAGTTGGACTGCGTGGATTGCAGACCGAGTAGCGCAGGGAAATTGAAGCCGTCGCCATCCGCTGCAGGAGCACGCACGCGGCGCCAGGCGGCCACGCCGTCGCGGGCGGCGGCCGCGATAAGGCAAGGCACCTCCCAATGGGTAGCCTGCATGCCGTTCCCCAACCATGCTACGTAGAGTCGAGGCGTCGACCTCTCTGCGGGTTGAAGCCTAGCCTCCATGGCCTTGTCGGCCAGGTTCATTGCGAAGCGATGCCCCCAGAGGTTGGCCCAGGCGCCGGCGCCCACAATGACACCGAGCCGGCCACCTGGAAGGCTGGGGCTCGCCAGGTAGCATGGCGGGTCGGTCGGTGGACTCGGGCCTGCACATGACGAGGTAAGACGGAAACGAAGACGTCGGTCGGCACGGCGGAGACTGCATGCCCAGGCGGGCGGTGCTCTGCACGAGCTGTAGGCGGCATGCCCGGTCAAAGATGCGGCGGCACTGCAGGCGCGCAACTCGATCAGCGTGCACGAAGACCCCGGCACAGATGAGATATCCCCTGTCGCCGCTGGAGACCGCGACGCGGGGCGCGGCCAGCACGGCAGCTGGCACCGGATGTGGATGTGCATGGGGTTCCAGTCCAACTCTGTGCGGCTCGTCGTCGCTGCTCGACCTGTTGTCGAAATAGCTCGAGTGCAGTCTGGGCGCTGTGGAGCTCTCCGCGTTCGGAGCGCAGGCCTAGGGACATCCAGGCGCTGCGGCCTGCGACCCACATGGCCACTCTCCCGAATGGCTGAGCCACGTCAATGGGGATGCGCTGGCTGGTGAGAGCCAAATTTCCGGGAGACCCCGGCGCCGGCGGACTGCGGCGGCCACGTGGAGCTCGATCCACATGTTCCGCCGATGCCGAGTACTCAGACTGAACGCATGTAGGCCCAGCTCGGCAGCTGCACATCGGCAGGTGGGGTAGCTGGCATAGCGGCTCGGGCATTGATATCGCTTACCCAGTCGCACCCTCGTTGTAGCCCCAGCGGGAAAGCACCGGCCACTCCAGCCCAGCGCCGCGGCGTCGACGATGGTGGCGCTGCGGGCGCAGCTGGAGCCGCGGCCGCTGAGGCTACTGCGTTCCCCACTCCTGCCGCGCGGACTGGCAACATAATTGCCCTGTCCGTCAGTCGTGCAAGGCCCTGTTGCACGCGGCCCACGAGATCGCCCATCCCCTGGCGCAGTCGCCGAAATTCGGCCCCGCGAGGTTTGGGCGAAGCTGGCGAAGACGACGAAGTAACCACCCAACTCCACCAATGGCTCTGGCCAACTTCCTGCCAGGAGCCGTCGCACGAACCAGCGGGATCTGCTGCTGCTGGTACTGGCCGCGCAGTCGCTGAAGCTGGAGTCGGCTGGCCGCCGTTCCATGGATATGCGCCCCGCGCGGGGTCGCCGCTGCCGGGCCCCAAAACCATGCGTGCCCAGCGCTCCGCGGCGCCCAGGGCGGCACGCGGCGGGGGCGCCAACGTCGGCGCTGCTGACGCTGGGGCGTCGAGGAAGACGGCGCGCCCTTGCTGGCGCCGACGGGGACAGTCGCGGACGAGGTGCTCCTCTGCGTCACTCTCGCGGCACTTGAGACGTGTCCCGCCCAGGCCCAATGGGTTGCCTTGCCCGCCAGATTCCAATCCACCGGTCCGACGCGCGCCCTTCCCCCCACCCCTGCCCCTCCCGGCACTGGCGATGGTCGCGCGGAGGCCAGTGTCGGACAGGTCGGCCAGGGAGGCGCGGCAGCCTGCGACGCGGCCCCCCCACGTTTAATGACCCCCCACACATGGGGCCTCGGCTTCTCGCCATCGAAGCGGCGCCATCGGGGCTCCGCGCGCTCGCGGGCCCAAAACAAATGAGCGCCGCGCTGTTCCACACGAACTCCGCGCAGTTCCGGGCCGTCGGCAGCGTTTCCTTCGACGAGTGAGCCGACGTCGTCGGAGTCGGTGCCAGAGTCGACACCAGCCGCTAGATACGCCGCCTCTGGCGCTGCTGGGCCAGTTGGCGGCAGCTGGCGCTGCGCGCGGAATCGGCGCCGCTCCGAGAGCTGATGAGCCCATGCCATCCCAGGTCGATCCGGCTTCAGTGGCATAGGCACTCTGATCCTGATTGCGCGCAGGCGCACCCAGGAGGAACGCCCGGCGCTTTGACCATTGTAAGGCCGAGGCAAGATTGCCTGGCGAGCCTTCGATATCGTGCCAGATATCGGCGTAGCTGGCCCGTCACGCGCGCCAGGCGCAGCGCATCCGCAGGGACGGCCACGTCGCGGCGCTGCAGGATCATAACGAGCTGGATGCTCGACACGCCCACCGCGCGCAGCAAGAGATTACTCGGCGCATCGCAGCCGATCATGAGTTGGCCAGCCTGCTGCGCCCTCTTGCGGTGGATTGCGAACCTGGTCAGGAAGTTCTCGATCCCCTCCCGCGGCAATCGGTTGAAGTTCGTCAGAGCTGAAACCGCCCCCGCGCGCCCCCCCCGTCCAAGCTGGCCCCATCACTCGGCCAAGCCAAGTATGAGGCAGGTCATAGGCGGCACTGGATCGCCGCAGACATAACCACTTTAACTGAGAACAGCCGGTGACCACTCGCCCACGCGCTCGCGAGCCGCACCGGTCAAGCGAGACGCGACGTAGGCCCTTCAGCGAAACTCGTCGAGGTCGGACTTGCCACTGACCAGATCCACACACCCCGCACTCAGGGCTGAGAGGGCACGCGAGCCTGCTGCACGCTTCCCCAGGCGCGGAGGCGTCTCATGTTGCCGCTGCCACCGCCACCTGCGCCCACGTAGGCGACGCAGGCTGATGGCAGCGACCATGCCCACTCCGATGGCGTTCCATCCAGACTAGAGTGGAGCCCCCATCCAGGTGTCAAGGAGGCGCGACAGTCCCGGCACCCACCAACAACGGCGTTACGGCGTTGATCCTCGGAGGCTTCGCGGGCTTCTGCCCCTGGCGCGCTCTTCCTCATCGCCGCAGAAGGTCTTCTTTCCTGTCGTGCGTTTGGCCCGCGGACCGCACTCGGAGCACCCTGCAAAATTGTGGCGAGCGGACTCGTCGCACAGCGCAGCGTCACTGCACTGCGCACTGCCGACTGTACGATAGTCGAGAGGAGTACGCATAGAGTTCGAGGTCTGCCAGAAAGCATCGAGGGTCACGTCCCAGAGAACCGATCGCGAGCAGCCCCAGGTCTGCGACGGCCCCTCGGAAAGACTGCGACACAGTTGCCCGGCCCTCTTTTGCATCCCCGTTCTTACCTGCACGCGCCCGCCCCGGCTTCCACAACACAGTTGCGGAAAACTCGGGGGTCTTTGCCGAAACCGACGATGTAAGCGTCGGATCGAACGACTTTTTTACATACTCGGCGACACCCACATGCGGATGCAATGTAGGCGGTGCGTCGTTTTCATCTTCCCCGCTGGGCTTCCGCAACTCAGTTGCGCGTAGCTCGGGGCCCTACGCTGACACCGTGAACATGGAAGTCGGATCGTTCGACGGTCCGACGCTGACGGTGGCGCTCACAGGCGAGTGCTGTGGCGACGAAGGGCCGCCGAGCATCCCGAACACATTTCGACAGTGCCCGGGGGGGGACCGGGGCGCAGAGGGCACCGTCCTGGTAATTAGTTGATGTACTCGTGGAAGTGTTCGTTTGCGCCGGTCCTGGCGGCTAGGCCGGGGTGGCCACGACGGCCCCTCGAGGCGCGTCGCCTGCCGTGGCGAGGTGGACGAAAGCACGATGTTGAAGCGGAATGTGGAGCGGGATGTAGAGCAGGATGTCGTAGTCGACGTTGTAGAGCGGTAGCCGCTTGGGCGCGGAAGTGCCACGCGGGCCACGGCGGCGGACGTGGTGGTGGAGCGAGGTGCTCCACTACAAACTAGAATGTGAAGCGATGTGTGAAAACGAACGTGTTCTGTAGAGCGATCCAAAACGGGTTGTGCACAAAAGATTGTAAAGTGGGCGCGCAAAAGGATCCATTGAGCCAAATGCTGAGGAACCCGCACATGCCTGCTTCCGTTACTCGCTGCTATGCTGCACTGGTGACCTACCGTTCGAATGGGAGGGGGAGGAGGAGAGGCAGAAGAGGGAGAGGCTCAGGAGGAGAGGAGGAAGACGAGGAGGAGGTAGAGGAGAAGGAAAAGGGGAAGGATAAGAAGGAGGGGGGCGAGGAGAATGACGAGGAGAGGGAGGAGGAGCAGCATGAAGAGGAAGGGAAGAATAAGAAGAAGAAGAAGAAGAAGAAGAAGAAGAAGAAGAAGAAGAAGAGGGAGAAGAAGAAGAAGAAGACGAAAAAGAGGAAGACGAAGACGAAGAAGAAGAAGAAGAGGAAGAAGAAGAAGAAGAAGAAAAAGGACGACGACGACGACGACGAGGAGAAGAAAAGAGGAGGAGGACGACGACGACGACGACGACGAGGAGGGGGAGGAGGAGGAGGAGGAGGAGGAGGAGGAGGAGGAGGAGGAGGAGGACGACGACGACGACGACAAAGACGAGGAGGAGGACGAGGAGGCCGAGAAGGAGGCCGCATCTCTCAGTCCATGTGCTCCAGGCTGCCGCGCGGCGCGCGCGGGATGGGGTGGCACTCCAGGTGCCGCCAGAAGCGCACATCGCCGAAGTGCAGGTTGGAATGGCGCTCCTCCTCTGGCGACGATCCATCCCCCTTTTCTTACTCCTCCACCCCTTCCCCCGTTCCCCTCCCACCCTCCCCACCCCCAGACCGCCGCGATACGATGTGTTCAGTCCAGGCGCTCCTCCTCGACCTTCCGACCTCCGGGGGCCGTTCTCGGGCAGAGGGACCCTCAAAGATGGACCTGAGAAGGAAAACTGCCCCCCAGGGGAAACGGTAGGACCCCTGGGGCCGCGGATTGCAAAAAAACGGATCGGCGGATGTCAGTGTCCCCAATCCGTTTCCCTCCACGCCCACCACCCTCCCTCGCTTCCCCTGGCCTTCTCCTCCCCTTGCCCTATCCCCCTCTCCCATCTCCCCAGCCCCGCTCATCCCCTTCCCCTTCCCATCTCCCCTATTCCGTCCCTCTCCTGCCCCTGCAAGGTAAGGACCGCTGGGGATGTGTGAACGAAGACGTTCAACACTATGGTGACTGCCATCTCCCAGAAATTCTGAGACGACCGTCACAGGCTCGTAGGCCTGCTGCACCATGGAGCAAGCCGAATCGAGCAATCCGGGTGCTCCACTGCCCTTGCCAGCCGCGGTCATCGTCCAGTCGGCGAGCTCACTGATAACCTGAAAACTCGTGCGGCCCCCCGGCGGCGCCTCCGGCGCCGCCCTTGGCGCGCTCCGCGCGCCAAGGAGGGGGGTCCAGCGCGGATCCGAGAAATCCGCGCGGACCTCCGAGTTTTTATGTTTATGTCACTTTTTGCTCCCCTAGATCAAGAGTCTCGCGAGGGCCCTCCGCCTCCTTTATCTGGGGGTCCACCCCGCCGCCGCCGATCTTTGGGGAGGTCGGAAAGCACCTGCTTGATGCTGCGGGAAGGCAGAGCCGAAGCCCCGTGCGCCCACCGCACCCGCCGCACTCCTACGTCGAGGGCGTCGCGCAAAACGCGCGCCGATCGCCGATCGGATGGAGGCGGCCGCGGAAGCAGGCGCGGTGCCGGGGGTGGCTGGAGGCGACCGAGGACGACAAACGCCCCACGGCGCCGCATGACAACGGAAGGACCCTGGGCTTTGAGGGAAGCAGCTGGATCACCTCACTTCGCGCTTCGCGCTGCGCCGAGCACGGAGCGCCCCTGCGAGAGACCCAGACCGCGAAGAGCAAAGCGCCCCTGCGAGTGACCCAAGAGCAACCTCGACCTCCCCCGCCAACACAGGCGCCCACCACTGGTGGTGCCGACTAATGCCAGCTGGCTCGGGGCCACCAGCGGGCCCGGGCGCAGGGGGGAGGCTTCGTTCGACACTCTTGAGTGGACTGTTCCTTTCCTTCCCCCCTCTACACAATTACCCCTGATCCGTCCTGGTTCTCCTCCTTATCCTCCTCCTCCTTAACCTACTACAACAACTCCTACAACGACGACCACGACTACAACTACGACTACGACTACGACTACGACTACGACTCCGACTACGACTACGACTACGACTTCGTCTACTACTACGACTGCGACTACAATTGCTACGACTACGACTACTACGACTACGACTACGAAAACGACTACGACTACGACTACGACTACGACTACGACTACTACTACTACTACTACTACTACTACTACTACTACTACTACTACTACTACTACTACTACTACTACTACTACTACTACTACTACTACTACTACTACTACTACTACTACTACTACTACTACTAC